TGCTACCAAAGAGTTTCTGATTCCTTACTTGGTTGAAAATGAAGCCATCAAATTTGTTATCAAGAAGATGAACAACACCATGTGCCTTAAAACTGAAAATCTCAAGTTCCTTGATATAACCAACTACCTGGCACCAGGGTTCAGCTACGCTCAGTTCCTGAAAGTTTACGACCAAAGGTCACTTCCCCTATGAATGGATGGACAGCCTAGAAAAGCTCCAGTATCCAGGACTACCACCACACGAAGCCTTCTTCTCTACTCTAAAAAATTCAAACATCACCGCTGAGGAGTATCGTTTTCAAGCAAACCTACTTTTCTTTGTTTTCTGAAAAGAACAAAGATTTGTATCATTTGTTCAAAGATAACAATACCGGTGGCCCTTCTATCCTTTTTCACCGCTATCACGAAGCAGGCAAAACGCAGGTCAGAGAAAGAGAGACGAAAGCTAAAGGAGAAGAGCCGAAACCATGTCAGAAAGTTGTTGGCTACGATGCGAACGCCTTGTACTTGTGGGCCATTATGCAAGAGATGCCGACTGGTTCGTACACTGTAAGGAAAGAAGAAAATAACTTCAAGCCGATCCACTCAAGGCGAATGGCTGACGAGTGGATAGCCTGGGAATCGTGGCAGCGCGGGATCTACATTAGAAATCAACTGAACCATACTGAGAAGCGGATTGGTGCTAGGCAGTTACCTGTGGACGGATTTGATAGTGCAAATCAAACCGTGTTTCAATTTCAAGGTAAATAACGGTAACGTTAATTTTATATTTCTTTATAAATTTCTTGTTTGTTTATTTATTTGTTTATTTTCCCAGGGTGCTGGTATCATGGACATTCATGCCATTTAAACACAGGGAAAGATAGAAATGAATATCGAAACAAGACCATGAAAGAGCTCCGCGACGAAACAGCAGCCAACAGCGAATACATCCGCAGCCAAGGCTACCAACTGATCGAGATGTACGAGTGTGAATGGCGGCAAATGAAGAAAGAAGATCCACGAGTGCGCGCCTTCATGACCAACACCTTTAAAAGACCGTTGGATAATATGAAGCATGACACCAGACCAAATCGTGACTGCCGTTCTTCATGGTTCGCTTTTTGGGGTTGTAGAGTGCGATATTCATGTTCCAGACCATTTAAAGCCACACTTCAGCGAAATGTGCCCTATCTTTAAGAACACCGAGATAAGCCGTGACGATATTGGGGAGTTTATGAAAGAATATGCATAAGACGAAGACATCATGCCACGCCCATGCCGAAGCTTGATTGGGAGTTACTTTGGAAAGAAAATCCTCCGTGCCACGCCTCTCCTTAAATGGTACTTGGAGCACGGTCTTGTGGTTACCCGTATCTATCAGGTGGTAGAGTATACGCCCAAGCCCTGCTTCAAACCATTTGGAGAGGCGGTATCTGACGCACGAAGAACCGGTGACGTGGATTCCTCTAAAGCCATCATTGCTGAAACCATGAAACTGGTAAGTATAGTTTTAATGTGACTGACTATTTTCTATCCACAGTGACTATCATTTCTTTTACTTGAAATTAAACTAAAACGTTATTTTTATACCATTTCAGGTCGGAAACTCGAGCTATGGCAAAACTATCACGAATCAGATGAAACATCGCGAGGTCAAGTTTTGCGGTGATGCAGATACCGATAGATTAGTGAACACACCGTTTTTTCGACAATTAGATCCCATTAATGAGCAAACGTATGAGGTGCAATCGGCAAAGAAACGCATTAATTTAAATCTCCCAATTCAAGTAAGCTTTTTTGTGTATCAGTATGCTAAACTGCGCATGCTTGAATTTTATTACGACTTCATGGATAGATATTTAGATCGAAAGAACTTTGAGTATATACTTATGGATACGGACAGTGCCTATGCTGCCTTGGCAGGTGAGAGTGTCGATAGCTTAGTAAAAGAAGAACGTAGAGATGAATATGAAAGTAATAAGCACAAGTGGCTTCCTCGTACCGACACCGCTGAACATCGCGCTTATGACAAGCGAACACCTGGGTTATTTAAAGTTGAATATCAGGGGGAGGGTATTATCGCTTTATGTAGTAAAACCTATTATTGCTTTGGTCAATATGACAAATTCAGTTGTAAGGGYATCAACAAAAAATGCAACGAAATTACAAAAGCTAAGTTTCTCAATGTTCTGCAAACAATGCAGAGTGCGTCAGGAATAAATCGTGGTTTTCGATGTATCAATCATCAAGTATTAACATACAGCTATTTCAAAAAACGTTGTCGGGGAGATTGGCGAGCGGCGATTGTCGAAGGGAGATTGCACGACCGAAAGGGACTATGGTTACACTGTTTTGATAAACAAAATTTCACTTATTGAATTCACCTTGCATAGAAATAGAAACTAAATGGAGCCAATGTTTACCACAGACCATCTTACAGTACAAATCAGTTGTTATTGCCTTTCAACTAGCAAAACCCATGGCTACTTTCGGTCGTGCAATCGCCATTCGACAATTGACATTCGCCATTTTATCCGACAACCTTTTTTGAAACAGCTATATAAGCAGGAAAGGGCTGGTTTTTCCTTCTTTTATCCCAAGAGGAAAGTTTTAGAAGATGGGATTTCAACAATCCCTTTAGAAATTTAATCATTACACATTTATAAATTTTTCTATCAATTTAAGAATCTGAAAGTTATCAAAATCTCTTGAATTTCTACAATTTTGTATAATATATTATGACTTTTCTGGATTTTAAATTTTAAGTTACTATAGTTATATGTATAGTTTTCATATCTTGTAAATAATTTTTTTGTAAAATAAAATAATTCATTCATGTAATCATGTGTATAGATACTTTATATATATTTAAAATAAACTGTTTTAAAAGAAAAGTTTGTTGTGAAAGTGTGCACATGTTTTCATGATTAAACAATATGCAGTGACATCCCACATGAGATAATAATAAGATTACCGAGCAGATAAACTATAAAAAGGTAGCGATCAGCAATTAGTAAATCATTTTGAAGTTGAAGCTGAAGAGTGAACAGCGAATTGAGATAAGAATATGGATCCCAGGTTAAAACATCCCTTTGGCGCAGTGTTTGCTGGTCCAACGTGTTGTGGAAAAACGTTTTTATATTAAATATTAGAGAGGGGAAGATGTAATAGATGGTGCACCGGAGAAAATCATATGGTGTCATGGAYTGCCTCAAACTGCGCATGACGTAATGCTGGAAACGATAGATAATATTGAATTTATCGAGGGTTTGCCAACAGGATTTGGAGTCCAAAATTGATCCAAGTAAAAGAAATCTTGTGGTGATTGATGATTTAATGAATGAACTTTCTGATGATAAAAGATTAACGAACATTTTTACAAAAGGTTGCCATCACAAAAATCTGTCTTGTGTTTTTATTTTGCAAAATATGTTTTGTCACGGCAAAGAGCTTCGCAATATTTCTTTGAATGCTCATTACTTGGTTATATTTAAATCAACGCGAGATAGCAGTCAAATCACACACTTAGCCAAGCAAATGTTTCCAAGAAGATATAAAAACAGTGCCCTCACCAAGATTGAATCATTTGACCATGAGCCATCGTGCGAAGCAGAGCTATCATCACTTGAAAGTTTTAGCCGCAAGCAAACCACATCAAATCAAGGCTATTGTAAAAACTGCAGATAATCCGCTGATACACACTCTTTGTGAGTGCATCTATAATCTGTTAAGCTCCAATCTTTCAATCANTACAAGAAACATCTCATCAAAATAGCAACAAAGGGAGTTCCGCTCACGCAAAAAAGAAAGATTCTAGTACAACACGGAGGTAACTTTCTGTCCTTGCTACTACCCGCTGCTATCACGGTTTTGGAGAAATTCTTGAAATGAATCACGCTAAGAGAATGGTATTAGTGGACGAAAATACCTTGGAACGATTACAGCGCCGACAAAATGTCAGCACACCGCCTCTAACAGCGCGATTAAATGAACTGGATCATGATATACAAGACGTTTTTAAAGATAAAAATATCTCTGAAGACGAAAAGGTTCGGCAATATAGTCAAACATTGCAAAATTATCTTCAATATTACAACCAGAAAAAGAATCAACCGATAAATGTCAAGATTCAACCCTCACCACAAGCCGTCAAGGCTAAACCACCACAGGAAGCCCAACAACCACCAGATCAGCAGGAAGAAACTGTGCCTGAGGTTGGTTTGGAGCGCGAAATTCTTCAAGCTTTACCCAAAACATCAAAAACTCGTGGTAAGATTAAAGAGAACCCAGAAGTTATGAAATGGAATGATAAGGGGCATTTGATAGTTGAAGGAAAGGTAATTCCTGGTACGCACATAAGCGATCTGATTCACTAAAAACGGGAAAACCTAGTGATAGAGGACCTCTTGGATGGGAAAGGTTTACTCAAGGTCTCGCCAAAATGAATGCYCCAGAGCACTTGTTAAGAAATGTTCAAAGAAAATCCGCTTTGAGAGAATTCAAGTCCGGAGGTTCAAATCAACCGGAAGAGAGCAGCACAAATGATTGGTTCCCAACTCCACTGACGACATCGTCTGGACCGATAAGAAACACCAAAACTTGCAATCCACACAAAGAAATGCGACAGCGCTGGTTGACTTTTAGAAATTAATTGTAATTCAATTTTAAAGAAATGATCAATAAAGACTGATTTTAACTATTAAATGTGTTTTTTATTGGGTTTTGAAGTCTGAAGGTTTACAATATATTTCACACGATTAATGATATATCCAAAATGTTAAACAATAAAACGATATACAAAYTGATCATTGGTTCTTGTATTCTTAGAAAAACGACTTACTATGGATTTATGGCTAATGTTTTGACACCGATTGATTATAAAATAGAGGCAATAATGACCACAAACATCAGATCCTAYCGATTGCAGTACTTGTGAGTTATAGGTCCACTGTTTACAATTTTTATCTAAAAATATTTTAAAGTCCATACAATATTGTTGTGGCTCTTTACCGTAAGAATCAAAAAACTGTCCTTGGTGATTTRCATCGATAAAGAAGGCACACCAATGCGAGCCGGGCTTTGAATGCACATCTACATTTGCGACCAGAGCAGCTGGATAACGATCGATGTGGTCGGGAAGTCGGTCTTACGGGAAAACTCCTTGAAAAAACTAGCCAGTTAAAGGTCACGTTGCGGTTATGGTCAATTTCTATGACTGAGTCAAATTCGGCGTAGAGAATCAGGTTAACCGTCGTTGGCGATGGTTTGGCAAACTGAAGTCCAACGCGCAGGTTTCCCTGTTTTATAAGCGATGTGTGGGTCCCCGAGGAGAGGTCTGGACTCAAATCAAAGGCATACATACAGTAGCCATTGGGGTATTCGTCACGGGAAATCTGCAATCCTTTGTCGTGAAACAGTTGGCCAGTACCGTGAAATAAGCTCATGTAGCCCATGAGATACTGTGACTGATCATAATTGAGTTGAAGCGCTTTGGATGGTGTGCTTTCACCGTTCACGTAAACACCCACTTGAGAGGCATCAAAGTGCTGAAATCTAAACGGATTCTTTTTGTACGATCCATTGAAAGCTGTATTCTCAACCAATGTCAACAATAGGCGGATAGGAACCTGCCCTAAAAAGATATCGTCAGGGCTAAAAGTCATTTGACCGGCTGGAATGGACATGGCCTTGCAATCCACTCTACGAATTGGGTAGAGGGCTGGAGCGTGACGAAGTGCCGCAGCAATCCCTAAAAAGGTATCGTTGTGAATTTTGACTTTGCGCACGTGAAAACTAGCCTCTTGAATGACCACTTTGAAATCAGCACCGTCGGTAGGTGAAAGCAAACAGAAAGCGTTTTTACTTCGGTTTAGTCTAAGGCGAATCGTCACTCCGTTTAAAATCAGACGGTCTTGTTGAAAGATATCTTGATGTATCTGTGTCATGAGCTCAAACGTGTTGCTGTTTTGACAATAAGTGTATCGTTCATGCAATCCTGAGTTTCTTGTGGCAACCTCAGCCAAAGGATCAACATTGTCAAACCTTCCAGCGGTATCCTTGAAAAATAGCTCGCTTTGAAGCTGTGAGGTCTTMGCATCCGTCCCATAGGATAAGAGGTTAGTAATCATAGCTCTGAAAMGATTGGTGTTTGTGGAGGATGAGATCAGTTTATCGTTCAATGTAACATCGATTCCTGCTATCATACAGTTAGCCAAATAGTTCGCGGGGGCCACTCGATCGTCATCCCCTAAGTCTGTACCATTAGCTTTAGTAACTTTAACTTTGAAGTACAGCCAAGAACCTTTCAAGTCGGTAAATTCATCACCACTCCCCGTGATACCAAATTCAATCGGTCCCGAAAATTGTGGGAGTTTAACTCGATACTCGGACAAAGTATTATCAGGAAAAACACTCATGGAGCTATTAGAAGGGAGCCAGAGATAAAACTGTGTTTTCTCCARGACYGRCAGTGATAAAATGATCACTAAATTACAAAACCCTCCCCTGTATCAACAAGAATCATGTGCATAAATTATGTTTTATTCAAAAACAATAGAGAATTACAACGATTGGACTGCACTAGCTGGAACCCAGGAATTAAACTTATCGGGATATCCTCTSCACTTGACAAAATATTCTACTTTGGATTTCCTTTTGCGCTTTTTAATCACTTTTTCAATGTGATATAAATCGTCCTCTCTTTGAACTTTTTGGAGCTCTTGCTCGTAAGAAACTCCCCCTAACACCTGTTGATCTTTGATGCGATAGACCGGTGGTTTTCTTGGTATCCGCTCGCTGACGATAAATATTTCTCTGCTCCAGTTCGGCGTATATCCCTTTTCAAAGGTATTTTTGACTTTGCTGATTCTCACTCTATCGCCCACGTGAAATTTAAAGCGAGCAATAGGACCCGATATCGTTTTACCATACAAAGTATGCCAAACGGTGCTTTCGTTTTTCTTGTTCACTTGAGAGGGTTTCATCTTGATACTGCGGTGATAGCTGCTGTTGTACGATTTGAGCAGTTGAGGTAAAATGTCAATATATTTCCAGGCATTTTTGTAAGTAAAGTAGCGATACATCTTATTTTTCAAAGTGCGGTTAAATCGCTCGATCACCGAGGCTTTGGTTTCACTATTAGTTACAAAAAAGTGAACATTTTTACTCTTGAGATAATTCTGAACKGTYCMGTTWAGAAATTCAGTTCCGTGATCCGATTGTAGCTTGGCGGGAATCCTGCCTGTTTTAAATATTTTCATTAAAGCCTGCTTGAGTTTGTCTCCGGTCTTAGTCTTCAGTGGAATAGCAAAGCCATATTTTGACAGAATATCGATGACGGTTAAAAGATAACGATAGCTCTTGTTAACTTTGCTCAACGAGCTCAGGTCATGTTTCCTGTTTCTCTAGCCAGTCTTTGACTTGATTAAGCGTGATTTTCTTGTGCCCTTGTTCTCTTGCAGCATGCAAAACYGCCGCCGGACCCGAAAAGCTTGCTCCGCTTTGAAGGTTGTAATAAATCTCGCTCAGAATCTTTTCCATCGCAGAATTCACTACTCTTAACAATAATCTTTCCACTACAGCAAGCCCAAATACAGCGAATTCGAGAGAATAATCGTTCAAGTGTGAGTTGTAATGGAGCAGGAAGGCAACCCATGTTCGCTCAGTGAGCAGGTGAAGCAAATGAAGTCTTCACTAATGTACATACATGTTTTATATCAAAGATAGGAGTAAAGCTCGTTCCATTCCCTCTCGGTCAATCGCAGCTCTTCCACAAATCGAACAAAGGCCAGAATTCTACCGATATTACTTTTCATCTGACCATAGTCATACATCTGTTTTWAATCATTCACTCGATTCTTTGAATGACATTCAAATTTCAACTTCAATTGTTCAAAATTTGTTTCAAAACGGATTCTAGTAGCAATGAATCGTAATACATTGAAATAGAATTTTGTGTGAATCGCTCCCATGTTAACCCCAACAAGTCAAGAGACTGAATGACTGTTTACAATAAGATTTATTGMTTTTTATAAAAACGGTTGAGTAAATTTACAATGCTAATGATTAATTCTGATCCATGCGCTCTTCATCTTTGCGACGAAACTCTTCCGGACATGAAATCTTTGAAGCTTTCAATATAGTTCTTTTCTTGCGATTGATTCTCAGTGGACCTTTGATCAGAACATCAAGGATTTGATCGTTTGGTCAGCGCAAAGTTCAAACTGAAGAATGCTCAAATAGACCGTTGTCCAAGGCAGCTTGTAAAATTCAGGAGTATAAATTTGCCACGACGGGTGAATTTTAAAATCAAGATATTGCTCACATACTTCACTGGCTAATTCCCACACTCGATTGGAGTCCACTAACTGCATGGCATCGTCGTAATAGAGGTTTTAACCTCTAAAAATGCTTAAAAATGCTTAAAAATGCTTCTTCATTTTCAGTCATCATACAAATATGATCTCTTAGGGCTGGCAGTTGAAGTTTGCAGCCTTCACACTCAGAATTTATCAGTTCCCAAATTTGATACTCGCAAAAAGAAGCATAAGAGAGTTGTAAGACCGTTGATATCAGCTCCAGCAGGAAAGCACGTTCAGCCATTTCAAC